GTTTACATTGAGCCAGGAATACAGGGAACTCCTCCACATTACCACCAAACTTTTCAGGAGGGTTTATTGGGCATCTTGGTGGTGGGACGGTGGCGGCTTGCTGCTGTAGTTGCAGGTGAGCAACCACTTGCGCAAGCTGCTGCACCTGATTCACCAGGCCTGCTAGCTGCAGAGTGCCTCCACTTGCTTCTCCGTCCATCCTGTGGAGTGAGCGTGTGGGGGTGCCAGCAATCTGTCATGGGCTAGAATGCAGGTAGAACGAGCGAGAGATAGTCCACGTCCTGACCAAGGTCAAAGCCGAGACAGGAACCGGATAATAGTCCAAAGCACAAACCGAAAGCGTAGTCGTCAAAGCCGAGGTCGAGGAGCCAAGAGTTCAGAGCATGGGTCAGGAACCGAGACACGGGCGAAGTGGGTGCGGAAGCATTCGTCAAGCTGACTAGTTGCTGGCACGAGGAGCTAGCATGGAATGGGGAACTAAATACTCCACAAGGCTGCTATCAATTAGCGTTCAGCGCATGCATCCCGGCTCCTGCTAGAACTCAGGGTTGAGGGACCGCCTACTGCACAGGCGCACCTCCCTTCACCGGGATGCTAAATCCTGACGGAGCCGGCTCCGCAGACGTGCCACCTGCGGAGGCGAGTCAGGGGGGCTGTCTTCCGTGCATCGTTCCTCCTCAGCTGTTGCTGGGACGGGTGGTAAGGATGCACCGACGGGCTCATTGGGAACAGGTGCGGGTTCTGCTGGGGCCGGGAGCTCATCCTCAGCAGCACTCATGACAAGGACTGGGGAATCAAACCCGGTTCTCCAAGATTAGAGTCCGCGTACTTAACCACTACACCAAACTGGCTCTCGATGACTGATATGATGTCATTGAGTCCACCTTCCTAAGTGGCCATTTTCTCCAGGTGAAGATCTCCAGCCACCACCTGGAGATTAGCAATCCCACGCAGGGAGCTTCCTGTCCGAGTGGAGATCTGACCCTGGGACTCCCAAGGCCTAATCCAGCACCCTGAACACTACTCCACGCAGCCCTTGAGGCCAATGACACTTGAGGGGAAGGCAGAAGGTGAGCTGAGGAAGTAGGGATGTATGTGACTGACTGCAGGAAGTGGTGGTATGAAGCCGCAGGGATGGGGAGATGTGGGCAGCCATAAAAGGTCACCAGGGTTGCCAACTGTGGGTTGGGAAATTCCTGGATATTTGGGGGTGAAGCAGGGTTTGGCAAGAGGAGGGTGGGGTTTGGCAAGAGGAGGGATGTCAGCAGAGTATGATTTTGTAGAGTCTACCCTCCAAAGCAGCCATTTTCTCCCTCTGAAGTGGAGGACATCTTCATGGGTTATTCCCATCATTCCTTTAGGGAGGCAGGAAACACTTTTTTCCTCTTCCTTTTATTTTTATTTTATTTTTTTCTGAAGATGGCGTCTTCAGAATAACCCACTACTCCAGTTCTTTTATAGGGAGTGGCAGCTCTAGAGCAGGTTTAGCCTTCTCATCTGTCTTCTTTACTGCAATTAACTTAATCTCATTACCTTTTTTCCTTCTCTTTTTTCCCCTATATCATTTTCTTTTAACTTTCTCTCTACTCCTTCTCGTCCTCTCCCTCCTTTCGTTTTCCTGAACTTCAAGGGACAACAAAAACTATTTGCCACTTCTTCAAGCACTCCCCCCGCTAAATTTGGGAGGATCAATGCCATTGGCTGAGCGCTCTGACTGTTTTTTATCAGAAGGAGAGATGGCGGAAGAGGAGGCGGCAGCTTCCCTGCGAGATGGCAATGAGGCCAACATGCCTTTGCGGCTTGTTCAAGCCACCCCAACGGTATCGGAGGAGGCTACAGCACTGTGGTGCATGAAGAAATGGCGCCTGCTGCAGAGGGAAGAGAAGCACCTACTGGCTTCCCTGGGGACAGAGGATTTGGATACCAACCCCCGCAATACAGAGCAATCCTCTCCTTGGACAAGGAGCCTTTCTCTAGAAGGGTAATGTTCCCAATGTTGGGGCCTGGCTTGCTTCAACTGGGTTTATACAAGTCTTCAGACAGGCCGTGCAGGAAGAAATCTCTAGCTTCTGTTCCAGGCTGGGCTTTAGCTCCCAGGGGGGAGTTCAGGGTCGTACACCCCATTTCAACTGGCCCACAAAAGGCTCCCCCTCATAGAAAGAGAGGAAGGGGCGAGGGGGGAAGCATCCTCATAATTGGATCCAGAGGAAGAAGAGGAGGGTGAATGCCTTTCAGATGAGGAAGAAGAGGTGATCAAGGTCCCTGAACAATCCAGTTGTTTTTTCAAGACTGAGGATTACCACTATCTGCCGAAAAAACCCTAGCTGTCTTGGACCTCTAAGGAGTCTACCTCTTCAGGCTGTAATCTAAAATCCAAGTCTAGAGGGAACAGTGAGTTCTTTCCCCCGGTAGAGACAAATGAAAAGGTGTTTCCTTTCCCAGTATATTTTGAGCTTCAGCTAAGGGCAGAATGGGGCAAACCAACTTCGGGCAAACCAACTGCAAACAGACAGTTCTCTGATTTTGTTTAAAAACCTTATGCGTTGCCTAATTACTCTAATGAGTTGTTATAGGTTCCCCCCCAGTGGCGGAATTACAGTCTTCAGGTCTGCTCTCTGAAGATGGCCAAGGCTCCATTCGTGACGTGCTGGACAAGAAAGTTGAAGCAGCTCTTAAGAAGATACACGAGGCAATAGCTATGATGGTGAGAGCATCAACCACATCATCTATGTCTAGATTCAGAAGTAATCCATCTGCTCCCGGAAAACGACCGTAGGACTCTCAAAGCCATGTCCTTCACAGTGGATGCCACACTGGATATCCTGACATTCGCATCCAGAGCCATGGCCTCGCCTACAGTGGCTAGACAACTGTTATGGTTGAGAGCCTGGCAGGTGGATTTTCAATCTAAAGCCATTGTCACAGCATATCCATTCCAGGGGAATCACTTATTTGGTGCATCTTTCAACAAGATTCTCATTGAAATGCATGCCAAGAAAAAGGCCATGCCCAGGACCATCCACAGTACCGACAGACACAAGGGTCACTCCTTTCACTCCCAGCATTCTCTGGCCAGGTTTCACCAAAACTCTGAGAAGCCCAACTGGGAGACTTTGAAACCACCCTTCAAGAAAGGTGCCTTCAACTCCCAAGTTCAACGGAGTGCATACACTAGCGCAGCCTTCGCCATCCGGGCATCTGTGGAGGAGGTCTTTAAGGCGGCACCTGGTCCTCCATTTCAATGTTTATTTGCCATTGCAAGATGAACGCGTTTGCATCAGCTGATGCGGCATTTGGAAGAAGAGTTTTGCTGCACATTGTGACATCACCTGATGATGATGACCCACCCATTTAAGGGACACTGCTCTGGGAGGTCCCATGGAGATGTCCTCCACCTCAGAGGGAGAACGGCTCATTGGCATTTACCATGAAGGGTCTTTCTCCTCTGAGTTCAGGAGGACATCTCGCCCCTCCCATCATCATTTTTTCTTGTTTAGAGAGCCAGTTTGGTGGTTAGGAGTGTGGACTCTAATCTGGAGAACCAAGTTTGATTCCCCACTCCTTCACATGTAGCTGCTGGGTGACCTTGGGCAAGCCACAGTTCTCTCAGAACTCTCTCAGCCTCACCTACCTCACAGGGTGTCTGTTGTGGAGAGAGGAAGGGAAGGAGATTATAAGCTGCTCTGAGTGAGGGGCAGGGTATAAATCCAATCTCTTCTTCTTCCTCTTCCTCCTCTTCCTCCTGTTGTGCTGTCCTCTTCTTCACAGCCTTTGACCTTTCTTGCTTGCAGTTCATTTTAATGTTAAGTTTAATGTTAGTATGTTTTTCAGAATTAAGGCAATTGACTTATGTTTGAGTTCGCTGCTTTTGGAGTCCCAGAACTGAAGGGGTGTTATTCTAAAGGTGCCAAACGGAAAAAAGTGTTTCCTGCCTCCCTAAAGGAACAATGGGAATAGCCCATGGAGATGTCCTCCTGATCTCAGAGGAGAAAGACCCTTCGCAGTAAGTGCCAGTGGGCTGTTCTCCAGGGGAACTGATTACTATCATCTGGAGAACAGCTGTAATTCTGGGAGATCTCCAGCCCCACCTGAAAGTTGGCAACTTTTAAGGGTTACCATCCTCAGGTAGCCACCAGGGCCTCTGGCTGAAAGTGAAGGCACAAGGTGGCCCAGAGACCACTGGGGTATTGCAGGCATTTCTGGGGTGATCAGAGCTGTGTGTCTGCCCTGTTGCAGTGAGTACAAAATAAGGATAATTCCTTTCTTGCAGGATTCTTGTAAAAATGGCAGCTGTGAAGCAGCATGGAAATCTTTCTGAAAAGAAATAAAAGAATCCAAGAACTAAAATGATTAGACATAAAGGTCTTCGGTTTTCTGAAGTCATCATGTTCTTCATTCATAAAGTTCTTCAGTTTTGTATTGAGTTGGAGACCTGTTTAGGAACTCCACATAGTCTGAACAGCCCCCACAGAGTCAGCTGGATACACAGATAGGTAAAAAATGCTCTGTTAAAGGGGGAAGCAGCAGAGGCAAGACAGATGCTGAAAATTTGCACTGGATGATGTTGCCTTCCTCTTCAAAGGGGCAGGAAAGAAGAGAAGGCCTGAATCTCCACAACTTAGTGAACACAGGTACCTAGATCCTCGTATCTCCCTTTCCGGCACCACTTTCTGGACCTCCCTCATACCCAGTGCATAGCATCAACATGTTTAATGCAAATATTTCTTTTAGAAACAACCACCTTGCTTGCCTCATTTGTCACTCACTTGGCTCCAAAAATAGTTTGTTCAGAACATTGTCTTGTCCACTCTAGAGACATTCTAGGCCAAACAGCACAAGTAACAAAAATCACTGTTCTGCCTACACCCCCACCCCTATAACTGCACTGTGTGTTTTTGGGTAAGCCTTAGAGATACTGCTGAAGAAAAAGACAAAAGGAGAACCCCATGATGCAGTGCAATAGTATTGGAACAACGATATTGTGAGTCCAGAGATATTTCTCAAGGTGCCAAAAGAGGAGGTTCTCTAGAAGGTGACTCTGTATGGTCCTTAGGAGGGAACACTGTCAGTGTGCAGGCCCGTATGCCCCCAAGGGATTCTGGGAGGTCAAAGACTCTGTGCCACTCATCCTTTTCCGGTTCATACTTCTGAACTATTTCCACCATACAGTGGTTGTTCCATGAATATCCTCCAATCACGTAGATTTTATTTTCTAACACAGCCGCCCCAACATCAATCTGACCATAGAGCATGTCAGCAATTGGTGTCCACTGGTCTAGGGCTGGCGAGTAATATTCACATCTTAGAACATCAAAGTGACTGGTTCCTCTGAAATGGCCTCCACCAATGACATATAGTTTGTCGCCAACAGTACACATACAGTGAAGGGCCCTGACTGTAGTCATTGGAGCCTTCTGAGTCCAATTGTCTGTATCGGGGTCGAAGCACATGAGTTCCTTCTGAGAAGTACTACGGGTAATGCCTCCCGAAATGTACATCAGGCCCCCATACACAGTTCCTGCATGGCCATAGAGGGGCTCATTCATTTTGGCCACATAGCTCCATTTGTTCATCCTTGGATTGTAGCACTCCACCGTGGCTAACTGGCTAGCTGCATTCAGGCCACCGACTGCATACAGATGTCCTTTAAGAGCACTTAGGTGAAAGTCAGTTCGCTTTTCATTCAAAGACGCCACTTGCATCCACTCATTATGGCGTGGATCAAACCTAAATGCAGTGTCAACTGCCATCTTGCCACCTGCATCATAATGACTCTGACCACCAGCAACGTAAAGAAAGTTCTCAATCACAGCAATGCCGTACTGGCACCGGGGCTCGTCCATGGGCTGCAGAGCCCACCACTTGTGCACTTTCTCGTCATACATCCACAGTTCATTACTGACCGCCAACTGCTCCTGCTGCCACCACGTTCCACCCAATGTGACCAGGTGGGTGCTGTCCGAGCGGATGGCCGTCCTTGCCGACTGCAGAGAGGGCTTCATGTAGGGCATCATGTGGTAGTTGCTGGCTTCCAGGAGCAAGTTCACGCATGCGTTGTCAGTCCTCATGAAATCCACCGTCTGCACGTGGTTGAGGAGATCCTGTGGGGCTATCAGAGGGAACCGGATGTGCTTCATGAGCTTTGCCACATGTTCCATCCGCGACTCCTCAGCATGCAGCCAGTGACAGGCAGCCTGGAAGAGTTCCAGCTCTGTGCAGCACTTCAGGCTATTGCTTGACAGGACCAAGACGAGGCGCTCAAAAGGGAGTTGTACAAACTCACCAGTCCTTAAGAACGCAGGAAAGTTCTCGAGGATGTAATTGTTCACATATTGATCCACTTCGGTGAGGTTGTACGTCTTGGAAAGCTGCCCCACTTCAGCACAGTTTTCTAAGGAAACCCCAGACATCAGAAACAATTTGCAGACATCCAGCACTGGCAAGATTTGTAAAAACCTGGCAGCTTCTAAAGTGTCCTGAATATTGTCCATATTGAGAGAAAGTTTGGCAGTATAAATAAAATCTATGATGTTCTTTAAACCTGTTTTGTTCACCCCATGGAGCGTAATGCACATTAAGTCTTGTTCTTTCATCCCACCTGTGAACATGGCTTTGAAGTAATCGGTAGCTGATGCCATCAGTGCCCTATGAACAAGAAAGGCTTCCTCTCCATCACCTGGCATCAGTGTCACATCGCAAAGCAGACCTTCTGTTCGAAGTTGGTCAAAACCCTGGAGTATTCCTGAACGATGAGCATCACTGATGAAAGATCTTGTGGTCCCTGCCTTGGAAGACTGTGGATGGGCAGATGCACCCATCTCGCTGCTCATAAGAGATACTTTCACGCAAGGGTCCTCCTCATCAACCAGGGATAAAGTGTCTCTCCACATCATCTCTGCCACCCTACTATGCCACCATTGCTGCTGATTGTTTCCCCCCACCCCCAGGGCAGTGACCTGCAACTGGGAAATGATACTCCTTGTGACATGTGATGCATCATCACTTTTAACAATGGTGATTTACTCTTATTGGGAGCTATTTTTGAACCCGAGGACTTCCTTCATTTCCTTGGACTGTATCCCAGAGCCAAAGTCCAAACTGATAGCAAAGGATATAGAACTAACCCCCCCCCCCAAAAAAAAAACCTACTATAAAAAGCACATGATGTGTTTCACATTATCCCTATGGGATGTATACAATTTTTCCTTTCCATTAATAGCTACTAAAGAACAAGGGGTGGGGTGATAAAAATAGGATATCAAATCTTTTTAAATAGAACTGAACTGTAGAACTAGGAGACAGATCAAGATGGGTAGCCCTGCTAGTCCATCTGTAGCAGTAAAAAAGAGGAAGAGTCCAGTAGCACCTTAAAGGCTGATCTTGAATGCCCGTGAAACCAATGTGAAGATTGAGCAAATTAGATTTATGAGAAAGGCATCAACAGAGGAGTCAGCTGAATTTTTAGTAGGGCAGAAATACACAGAGCAGAAGGAGAGGGATAAAAGAAGTTTGGGAGAAGATGTGCGTGCTGCGAGTGCTGCTGGACTCTTGTATTTTTTAACATTCGATAATTCCAGCATATCATTAGGGAATGGAAGCATCTTGGGATGTTCAGTGCCAGCAGCACCCCCCCCCCAAATGCTTAAGTGGTCACTGGAAGTTACTCCTTTAAACTTGGATCCATTCTCTGAAGGGGAGCACCTGGGATTGTATAAAGAGCCTCCAATTATCCAAAACAATACATAATTATGCTGCCATCCTGAAGGCATGGGGAGTCTTTTCTTGATTGGACCATGAGCTTGGTTAAAATCCATTGGGTTGGATTTGTGCCATTCATAAATCTTTGGGCAGACTGCCTAACCACCTCGCTATTTCTTGGCTATCATCTTTTAAATTATTAATCAAATTTTATTAACAAATTCACTACAGAGGTTATTTTCTCTTGATGGAGCTTTCATGACTTTCCATATTTTGACTGGGCAAAACTTATCCATTCTGTTATTTTTCATATGCCAAAGATTCCCTATATCTATCTTCTATGTTTATCAAAATTTCCTTATAATCATACAGATATATTCATAATTCCATTTGGGAGTAATATCCACATAAACATACAAGTATACATTTCCCTCCCCTTCCTCAATTTTTGTTTTACTCCTAAAGAACATCAGCTTTATAGACCAACTTATAACAAATATTCTACCAACACCCTAACTTTAAATTAAATTCCCTGTTCCACTCATTTCTATCTATCTTTATCCTGATTCTCACAACTTTTCACCATTTAGCAAAGAACATATTATCCTATCTAGCTATTTAATTCATATCACTAGCTTTCTATAGCCCTAATTAAACCCCATTCATTATTTTTCTTTCCACATTTAATAAAAAGCTTGCTTCTATAATTCTCACTTCTACCATAATACCTTACACCCATCATACATAAATAACTAAATAATTAAACACATAAACAAAATCATTGATATTAGGGTACAACAAAAGCCACAAATTTATTTTTCCAATATAACAAAATTCTGCAAAACCAATCAATCAACTTAAGCTTAAATCACTAACAATAACAGTGTCAATACCTTCTATCTTAAAAATTAATCTTACACCCACCATACATAAATAACTAAATAATTAAACACATAAACAAAATCATTGATATTAGGGTACAACAAAAGCCACAGATTCATTTTTCCAATATAGCAAAATCAACCTTCATATGTCTTCATTTTTTTCCTATGGATCTGAAGTTTATTTTTTTGCCTCAGCAAGTCCACATGACTTTTCTCTTTATATGAGTGAAATTTTGTTCCTGAGCTCTCTCTTCCATGTTCCCGCCTAGCTATGTCCCAGGTTATATTTTCAGTCTTGCCTTTCCTCACACCTTGTCTTTATCTCTTTTTTTTCTTTTTCTTTCTCACTAGAAATTTTTTGTACCTCTTTTTTTTTTGCTCTGTCTCTAACTAGGACAATCTCATCATCTTCATTTCCATTTCTATTGATGGTGCAGGTTGGGTATCCACAAACAACTCTTTATAGTAACAAGCCTGTTGTTCCGTAACATTCTGGTTTTCCTGTACCAATTCGTCGTCATTTTTCTCCTCATTTTCCGTGGCCCGTTGTATAATTTGTGAATTTCCAAGCACATTCGCACAAGCTTGCTCAATACCTCTCTGTATTCCATCTCTCAGCACCTTTAAAAATTGCTCCAGAGTGAGTTCACCCATTAACATATTGTCATCAAGATCCTCCTCCTCAAACCCATCTGGAGACACCATTTTAATGATACACTTACTTTCACTTTAAATAAGTCCATTTCAATAAATCAAGCACAAATGTGAGTCCTTAACAACAAGTTTTTAGCCCTGAAAAAAACCACAAAAAAACATCCACTACGATTCTTTCTCCCATTCATTCTCTGGCCGCTAATTACTTCCATTTTGGGCTTAAGAGTTCGGGATAACTTGAAAAGCATCATCTCAACCATTATAGTTAGAAATAAGCATACTCACAAAACTATATTCAAATTCTTCTTCCTCTACGTTTTGTCGCTGTATCCAATATTGTAGAACTTTTAAATCCAAAAAGGTTAAAAGGCGGATGGTCGTGGCTTGTGCAGAGCATGGCATTCATGCTTTACTCCATAGGACGTTCCCGCTTCAGGGCAGAAGCGGTCACTCCCCCGCATTGCCAAGAGCGGGAGGGGCTGCAACAGAGCCCCCTGCACTAGACCTCTCTCCGGGAGGTCTAGCAAAGTCCCCCCGGGATCCAGGGGGCTCCAAAAGGAGTGTAGAAGGATCGGGTGTCTTGGAGTGACCAAGAAACCGCCTGTCGCCACGCCGTACCCACGTGATCCGTCTGACTTGTTATTGATAATGGAGCTAGGAGCCTGAATCTAGAATTTCGTGTCAGTTTATTATGGTTTCCCTCGAGAGAGAGCTTTTAAGTGTTTGCAGCAGGAGAAGCCAGGAAGCCTGAGCTGGCAAAGTATCAAGTGGTTTGATGTGTTGCTTGGGTCCAGTGGCGGTTGAGAAGTTATGGCAGCATGCTAGAACGGGTTCTGGCGAGAAGTTGTTGCTTAGTCATAGATTGTGTGCTCTGCATCTTGCCAGTCCCAGATGTAATCAGCAGCCTTTCTGGTTGAAGGGTTTTTGGGTAATGAGGCTGGGAAGACCTCTGTGCTTGAAATCCCAGAGAGCTACTTCTAGTCAGGATGGACCGCATTGAGCTGGATGGAGGAGTGATCTGACTCTGTAGGAAGCAGTTTTATATTATGTTGAAAGGGGCCGTGAGGCTGAGTGAAGAGAGCTACTCTGAAGACAGGTTGAAAGAACTGGAGCATAGGGGTAGGTGAAGCATTGGCAACTTGGCTTGTAAAAGAGGCCATAACTAAGGAAACAGTTGCTGAGCAGGGAAACCAATTACCCAGGGAGGTTGGGGGATTGTGTTCCTGGAAGCCTGGAGGGAGTTCATGGTATAGGGCTAGGAGTTCCATAATTTTGGTGCCATGGCTGAGAAATCCTCTTTGGTTTCTACCTGCCTACTTCAGAAGGCAGGGACCCCGGAACAAGACCTCAGAAGGTTACTATAGTAATCAGATAGCTTTGCGTGGGAGTAGGCAGTCCATAAGGTATATTATTGGTACCAGGGCTTTAAATGTCAACACCAGCAACCTTGAATTGAGCCCAGAAACAAATTTGGAGCCAGTGTAGATGAGCCAAGACCGGAGTGATACAGTCCCTATGACCCACTCCAGTCAACATTCTGGCTACAGCATTCTGTACCAACTGAAGGTTCTGAGTTTCAGTTTGGGATAATTCACATACATTATTATGCCCCATAGATTTCTGAGCTCAGGTAATAATGGAACTATGGTGGAGCACTTGTGGAGCTAATTCAGAATATGAGCCCTACTGCACCAAAGCCCTCTTGTCGTGGGGGGGGGGAGAGGTTCTACTGTCTTTGAATGTTTAGCTGAAATACAGAAATGGATGCTGACCTCTGCTGTCCATGCCTCTTATTTGCAGAAGGATGTTCCAGATGGGCTGAAAGAACTGTCTGAAGGCTCAGAGGAGAGCAGCGATGTGCAGTCGGATTCTCCCACCTCAGAAAGCAGCAGCAGCAGCAGCAGCAGTGACAGGAGCAGTAACAAAGATGGGCGGAAGAGCAGGTGGCGAAGGAAAGGTAACCACTTCTTTAAGACTCTCAAAATATGTTTGTTTGCTGTTTGCTTTGTTTGTACTGGTTACTTCAGCTGGGTGGCAGAGGGGGAGGGTGACTTTTGCCAGTTTCCCCTGCACTTTGACCCCCCCAAGGTGTTCGTGGAGGTCCAGATACCCACTGGGGGCAGAGTTTCAAGAGTTATAAGAAAACTGTAGCAGGAGCAGGAAAGCAGTCATTTGTGACACTGGCACTGCAGCGGATCCAGGCCCAAATCTTGGCCCTAAGTGTTGATGAGACCATAATAGGGTTGCTTATGCTCTTGTTAGCCAGTGCTCAGGTGGTTCAAGGCCACCTCTGAGCCTTCACAGCTCTTCCTCTTCAAACCCCCCCCCCCCAAGAGAATGATATTCAGTCTGTATGTTTTGGGGAACAACTGTTTGCCAGTGGGGAGATGTGAAACTTAAGTTTTAGATGGATGTGTAAATGTAGCTTGGATGTGCTCAGGGAAACTGCTATAGCTTTTAGTGCCTATGAGGTCTCTGGTTTGAGAAGTCCTGCAGATTAGTGGATGCAAATAAAGGCTTTTGACCAGACTTCAGTACAGGCTGATGAGCAATAATAAGCCTTGGTGAATTTGTCCTGGTGTAGTGTTGCTACTGCTAGAAATTCTATTTACTGAGAAAGCAGGCCTGTAAATTGGAAGTCCTTGGGAGCCAGTTTCTGTAAAGTATGACTCGGTGATGATCACAAACGGAAAATACATCTACTTTCTTTCCACTGTCTCCTTTGGGAAACTTGTGAGAACTATTTAGTTGCATATTACCCAAAATCCATAGAATCATATCACAGTTACACACTTGAGATATAAATTCAAATGATAATCAAATGCGTGAAGCTGCTTTCTGCTGAGCCAGATGATTGGTGTATCAAGGTCAGTATTGTTTGCTTTGATTGGGAACAGCTCTCCGTGATCTCAGGTAGAGGTCTTTGAGATCATGTACCCCCTAAACCTTTTAAAATGAAGATACCAGGACCTTTTACATAAGAAGCATGTGGTCTGTCACTGAACCATGGTCCTGATTCAGGTCTCTGCTCAGCCAGGAAAGTGGCTTTTGGGCAAGCTGCCATGCCACCACTCATCCCTTTTCCAGTCTGTAAACTAGCAGATCAAAGGCAAGATGGCAACAGACAGACACAAAAAAACCCTCCAGGGAAGTCCTTATCCCCTCTTCTGTATTTGCTGTGTAAAACTGCTGAAGTGGAGGAGAGGGAAACGGAACAAGTGGTGCTAGACAGGGTGAAGGACATGGACCTCCAGTGTCTAGAATCTAAGGGACTAGGGTGGGTTATCTTATTATTTATTTATTTATTTATTTATTTATTTATATTTATATCCCACCTTGCCTGTGTGGATCTCCCCAAATCAAAAGATGATCATGTAGGCTTCAAGTGTATGACACATTATGATGGAAACATCCCTTAATTCTTTGTCAAAGGGACTGGCAGGGATTCTTGTTGTTCTGGTTCCATTCCCATCTTAGAGCAGAGTGATCTTCCCATGCTTCACCATCATTTTCTGATCTTGAGGACTGACCGCTTCAGATCACTGAGAAACTGCCACTAGTGCAGAGCGATCTCACTTCCCAATGGATATTGGAAGGCAGCAACACATTCAGCCAGTTCTCCAGCCAGTGCCCTAGTTTCCTGTGTACTTCTAGGCCTTATTGTGCCTTATGCTGTGTACTTTGTTTCAGTGAGAAGAAGGTATCATCTGCTCAAAGCAGAGCCCTGAGGCTCTGGGAGTATCTTGCCTTGGAAGGAAAGGAACAGCTCTTCCCCCCACATAATATCTTTTTCTGGAAGGGTTTTAAGATCCACTTATTGAGGACTTCCGGTTTTGGCGACTTGCATGCGGGCACACTCCATCACAGCTCTGATGTGAGTGACCTGTAAACATGCTGATGGGGAGGGGGTCTGAGCTGGTCTTGGGGGGCCCCTGACCCCTTGAAGGGGGGTCATAGCCTGGGGCACGAGAGGTGCCTCTCTCAAGGCGGAAGCCAAAGGATCGAGGCACTTCTTTGTCCCGTTAGGTCCCCGTGGCACGGAACCAGCAATGGCATTTAGAGGTGCACACCGGCCAGAGCGTACAAGTGATCTAAGCAAGAACCTCTCTACCTAAACGCAAGTAAAGATGTGAGTAAGTTCACGACTCAACAAACATTTGTCAGCAACCAAGCCATACCGAAGTCCCAAAATAAGCGGAAGGGGGAGGGGAAAGCCCGAGCCCGAAAAGACTGAGTTAAGCGAGGGGCAGAAAGGACGGCTTGGAAAAAAGCGTAACTTGATTGAAAAGGGTGTTAAAAAAGCGATAGACTATCAGACCCTTAGAAACTATTTGAACTTTTCTCTTACTGTAAACAATGAGGCAACGTGCACAAAGAATGGCAGCGAAAACGAAACCTATAATGGGAACTGCCAGCATTTCTTTTCGGGCGTTAACCCGGAAACAGCCATAGACTCTCCCAGATGATTGTTGCAGACCTGCACCACCTACTGGACCAGAAGACAAATTCCAATGTGGAGATTGCAAAAGGAACTTAAAGAAACCCCAGCAAGAACAGACTGTTCATCAAGCGAAAAGATTCCTGATGCAGCAAGCACAAAGCGAATGGTCCTGAGAAAGCAGAAAATGGCAAAAATGCAGAGGAAGAAAAAGAAAAGGAAACTCTTGACATCAACCTGAACATCATGGCAGAATCCTTCGATTTTGATCAAAACTAATTTGGACTTCGATAAAAAATTAGGAGGAAAGAAAAAATTAGGAGGAAAGAAAAAATTAGGAGGAAAGAAAAAATTAGGAGGAAAGAAATAAGCAAAATAGTCTTGTTAGTCTCATCACTACTTTTATTGTATATGTTAAAGCGAATTTTACATCATAATCAATCATGTCAGAGATTGTTTGCTTTTTAACTTGTTTTTCTTTTGTTATCAATAATTCTCACATTTTACTATTCGCAGAATTAGAGATGTTTCAACTATCTTAAACTACTGTAACCAAGATCCTTGTTACTCTATATTTTAGGTTCTTCCCTTTCCCTGACCCTGTAGACTTGTAGTTTAAAAAAGGAATTTAAAAAAAAAATTTTTTTAAAAAAAAGATCCACTTATTGTAAGTGATTTTCTGTGGTAAATAGGGTGTATAAATCACTGTATAAATCACTTTGAGCTCAGAAGAAGCTGTACACATAAATACTTCAAGTAAATCTGTCGTGAGGGTCAGAACTTAGAATATCTTTCCATTTCTTAGAAGTAGTGACTTCTGAGCCTGGAACTCTGAGTGGGAAAGGAACTCAGGCAGGATTCTACCACAGATGCTCATCTAGCTTGCTGCACTTTTAAAATACAGAAGGATCTAGTTCAACTTTACTGGGTAACTTCTGTCGCTTGAGTATTCTTGTAATCTGCTGTTTTCCCAAATATCCAGATTGCAGCCGATTTATGGCAACCCTGTAGGGTTTATGGCAAGAGACATACAGAGGTGGTTTGCCATTGTCTGCCTCTGCATAGCAACCCGGTACTTCCTTGATGGTCTCCCATTCAAGTACTAACCAGGGCCAATCCTGGTCCAATGCTTTTTAACTTGTTCATTAATGATTTGGAGTTGGGAGTAAGCAGTGAAGTGGCTAAATTTGCGGATGATACGAAGTTGTTCAGGGTGGTGAAAACGAGGGAGGATTGTGAGGCACTCCAAAGGGCAAGTGGGCGTCAACATGGCAAATGGGGTTCAATGTGGCCAAGTGCAAGGTGATGCACATTGGAGCCAAAAACCCTAAATATAAATACACATTGATGGGGTCTGAACTGGCAGAGACTGAACAAGAGAGAGATCTTGGAGTTGTAGTAGATAACTCACTGAAAATGTCGAGACAGTGTGTGACTGCAGTCAGTCAGGCATTTATTACGGCAACAAGCCATAGAACACACATGCTTAAATATAACATTCATATAACTGAATTTAGGACAGTAAAATAAAACTCCATAAAAATACAGTTGAGTGTAATAAAGTAAAAGAAGAACATAAAACAGAGACTATTAGGCAACTATTATAATATATTTGATCGTGTATTTCGGATGCAGTAGCAAGCTACTCAAAAGTTTGCCACAGTTTCGGTAATTGTTCGGTTCCCATCAATTAACAATCGGTTACACTGCTCAACACCTGATTGTCCCACCATATCTGTTATCAGAGGAGTAATATATTTGTCACAGATCTTGTTATACCAGTTACATCTGAGCATCATGTGCTCAATAGTTTCTATCTCTCCTGAGCCGCATCGACAAAGTCTATATTCAGTGGGGATCCTTTTGAATCTACCCTCAAGCATCGCGGAGAGGAAAGTCTCACATCTGGCTAATGTGAAGGTTTTCCTAAACTTGTGAGTATCAAGCTGTGATAAATAGGACATGGGTTGCAAGCGATATTTGACAGAATCTGGGACTCTAAACTTAGGACATCTACCGAGATCTGTCTGTCTTTCCATGTCCATCATTCTCTGTTTTAGGGCTGATTTTGCTACATCCCAATGCATACTCAAAATCGCTTGGGGGGGGGGGGGAACCAAGCTCATATAATTTATTGTGAACTGCTCTCAACCATTTGGATTGAAAGTTGTCTGAGAGTAACAAGTGGGTTAGTCCCTGAGGATGGAAATTTAGTTTAAGCCAATACTGGAGTGAAGCTAAAGTAATTTTGGCTTCACTGATATAGCACCTGTCTCTAGACGGATCAGTGTATTCGATACACACCTCAGGACCTGAAGAACTGCTCTGAGAAATTTGGACTGAACTCGCTCTAAGGGGGCTAAACTAGAGGAAGGAGGCCCAATAAAAGTGCCATAGAGCATCTGCCCAACTGCCTTTGCTTGAACGAGTTTTTGGGCAGCTGGCACATAATAAGCCCCTTGGGTGCGATAGAACTTAAGAATAGCATTGGCTGTTCTTTCACCTTGGGAAGCAACATA